GTGAACCTTCACCTTCAATCCACAACAGTACAGGCCAGACAGATTTTACAACCTCATCAATGGCTTCTAAGAAATGGGCCTCCATTAAGGGCTAATTCTTACAGTTTGTCCATCGTTAGGTTATGTTCAGCCTGTCTTTTGTGTCAGAAATAAATACTAAGTCAATCAAAGGATTCCCCATTTGTACCCAGAGCATTGACAATGCACACACATCTTCTTCATCTGTTGCAGCGATTCATTGCTTGGGAAGGACTTGTGTACTTGACTCAGTCTCACATGGCAGCCACATTATCCAGCAGCTTGAAGAGATAGAAACGTGAGTCCCACTCGACTCCTGGTGAAACAGCAAGAAGCCCCTAAGGAAGGCTAGCTGTTGTGACTCAGAAGAGGGGACAGGCATCCAAGAAATGTTAATAATAACTTGAAACGGCCCATGCACATGCCAGTTCTACCACACCAATGCCTTAGAACAATTCTGCCCTGCTCCTTCCGAAACCTCCTGCCACAGAGTAATGCTGACTTCATTATTTTCATTCTCTGACTAATCTCCATTTTGGCTAGAACCTTTCTCAGAAGTTGATCCTTCCTGCCAGCCACTTCAGCTTCTTTTCCTGCAACAGTTGTCCCTCCACATTTGTGGGGTTAGGGGTGCTGGACTCCTCCGGAAGCAGAAAAAACATAAATATCTCCAGCTCCAGCCCTTCAAAACATAACTCTTAAGACTGTGTATTGCCTTGCTTGCCCTCTGTCTCTCAGACCTTCGTCTGATCCAGCAGAGCTCCTCTTCTTTGTTTATTACATTCTTATGCTTTTATTTCCTGCTCACCCTTTCACTCACCAGGGCTTCCTCTTTGCACCAAGGAAATGCTGGATAGATTTTCCCCAGATGGGCAGGGCAAGAAGGCATGCTTTGGAGGTTCTTCCTCCCCCCCCCCCCCCCCGCCTTTGCTTTCTTTCTCTCTATGGTGATGCGTTGGAGGTGTCCCTCTCTCCCCTTTTGCTTCCTCTCTCTCTATAGTGATGACAACTTCTGTCGTAGTCCACAAAACTGCAAAAACTTCCATATTGTTGGCAAACTCACAAATAAACAAATCTACATTAAACCCACAAAACGTGAAGTTCAATTGTACTTTTTTCTGGGTATTGTCCTATGGTAACATTACCTCTCCTGAAAAAAGGAACATACCTCTTTTTTTCAATAATTGCATCCAAAGCATGTGTATTTTTTTTCCCCACTTAGGTTGAAATTTTTTATTTAAATAAAAACATACTACAAAGGGTCCACTATTCCATTTTTTTCTGAAGCCATCTTCCTCAAAGATGTAACTTCTCACCCATACTTCTTATCCTTTGTAATCAAAAATGTTTTCTCCCTGAAGACAGATTTTGGACTCTTGACTGATTCTCTCTGTTCTTTGGAGCTTGCTTCCCGTTTCTGCTGATCTCTTTGCTTCTTTCCTATCAAGTTAACCAATCCTGTTCAGTTTTAATTTGCCAAAAAGACTTATTTTTCCAGAAGATGCTTAGATGCTGGCTTTTCTCCCACTTGTCTGTGTGTGTGCATGTGTGTGTGAAGTTGACTGTTCTGGATTCCAAAATACAACCCCCACATGGCTCTGAGTATTCCAGAGGAAGGCCTGGGAGGTTTCTGTGTCATCATCCCTCCCGCATCCAGCATCTGCTGCCCTAGTCTAGTTGCAATGGAGTTGGGTCCATGTAACCACCTGCAACTTGGCATAGTACCCTTGTCCTTACCGTTACTGTACTTTGCCTGATTTTTGTTTCTTATGCCTTTCTTTCTGACTTGGATGATCCTCCTACCCCACGAAAAATAAGATCCCTAAAACCCGAAAGGAAACATAGGGTGTTCTGACATTTCAAGAAGTGGCACACTTTCCTCTGAGTCAAGACTACTCCCAAGGGAACTACATAGCCTTTGAAAAGAAAAGAGCAGCTTCCACACACCATATAATTAAGGCTGTCTGGGTTAGTAGAGGTATCTTAGTACAGGGCAGTCCAACTTTTCGTACCTTGAGAGCTGTATAAGAACTTTGACATGAAACCCAGGGGACGCACGATGAATTACAATTCAATTTCAATAAATTAAAGTGTTCACAATATATGTATTTGATTTAATATGCACCATTAATATATTTAATAAACCATTAAATGAGGGAGAAAAGCCAATACGAGGTCTCAGAGTTCAGATCAGGGACAGCTGCTTCATTTTAAAATGATTTTAGGATTTTAGGACTAATTGAATGAAAAATAATGCTTTGTGGGCCTGTGATCTCTGCAGCTCCTTCTCCAACCACAGCCCAAGCACAATGACGGCTGCTCTGCGATGGCCCATCCAGAAACCCGTCCGTGTGACCTCCCTGGCCCCTCCTTCTTTCTTGGAATAGGTGACGCCCCTCTTGTCCTTGAGCTGACAAGCTCTCCCCGGCAGGCCCCACGCTGCTCCGGCTGATGAGCACAAAGGCGCGCTCATCAGAACGAGCAGGCAGGACATGTGAGGGTGAGTTCTTGCAGTGCCACCAGCTTGACCTGCTCTCTTCCTGAGCTTCCGGAAGTGGAGTGGGGTGGGACAGTGGCCTTGGGTGACCTTGCCACAATCATGCCCTTGCCATTGCTGGGATCAAGACTTGGGGTGGGGGGCGGATTCCAAGTGGCAGGGGGGCCACAGCACAAGGCCTCGGTGGCTGCATGCAGCCCAACAGTTACATGTTGGACCGTCCCACCTTAGCATTTTTTGCAGTAGTAAGTGTGCCTACCTAGTCTAATCTTCTGGCATTTTCCTCCTTGGCAACTGAAAAGGCCACACCGGTCTTTTACATCACCTATCCTAACTGCCTGTACGTGCATGCCGAGTACAGTTGCCATGACTATTCTGAGATGGCCAGGCCAAGAATAGATGATCTTCCATCAGTAAGTCAGCTTAAACCATTTTCTTAGGATGACTTTATTGAAATAGCCCACTAAGTTTGGTAGCATGAGCACCATGAGGCTTTCTAATTTTATGAGGTCCCAGCACAGTGTTCAGTACAGTCTCAGGACATACCGATAGGAACAGAAATCTTCTTCTAGCTATAGGCCATGTTCTGTGTATGCTCAAATGAGAATTATTCAAATGTACACTACACTGTTTTAAAATGAACAAATCAATGGGGCAACATTAACTGGTGGACATGAATAGGACGACTTTATTGAGCTAGTGACTTTTTTCTGCCCAAGGGCAAACTTTCTATGCAGCCTTCCTTGGAAATATGTCCCAAGGTAGTATCATGATTTTAACTCAAAGACTCAGTGTCTCACTTTGGGGACATCTAATCTGCACAATGTACTTCCTCAGTGTATAAAGATCACTAACTTTTGCTATCCAAATTAGCAACGTTGGCCAGCCATGTGTCACCAAAACATACTTAATTGACCTGAAGAATTTGGGATTTTTTTTGATATAGCTTAGTTTTATATTTTTGTATTCTTTTTCACCCTTAAAACCTGGTAGTGGAGTCAAAAGGGAACAACTTAACATTGAAGTTTGATAGCCACCACTTTTGCTGTTAGCAGGATGCCAATGAAGCATTCCAGATTCTGATGTAAGCAGTAATTTCTAACTCAAAAGAAAAGCTTTTTTGAGGAATATATCTGAAAAGACACACAAGTCTAACAGTAATTTGGGGCCAGCTCATAAAACTGTCCTGGTGCTAAGTTGTCATTTTGTTGTTGTTTGCATGCCTGATTTTCTTTCACTACCATCATCCTGCCAGAAAGAGAGCATCTGACAGAATACTTTACACATCAAATGCTCAGGTGTAAGCCACTGGGAACAGGAAAAAAAGAACTACTAGCCAGTTAAATACCTCAGTCATGAGAAAGAGTCAAATTAAAAAAGGACATTTGTTAAAATGTGTCTTAAGTAGTGCTTTCATAGTTCAAATATTCTGAGAAGTAATATAGGAAGGATTTAATCGAAGCATGCAGTCCTGAATTGGCATAGGAGTGACTTTTTATACTGTGTGTATACATTTAGGAAAACATTACTATTTCTCTTGGGTATGTGTGTGTGTACACATACACATAAACACACACAGAGAGAGGGAGAGAGTATGTATTTAATATACACACATCTTGATCATAGTTTTGATTGCAAGCCTCACTTTTCCCCCCAAAAGCAATGACAGAGATCTTTAATGTAATAACATATTTTTGTTGAATGCCTTGGTGTTTTTTCCCCCTTCCTCCCCTTCATTCTACCAACTGAAACAGAGACAATTCTTTGTATGTCGAAACGTGCAATTATCATGTATCCAAAAAGGAGGGTGTAATTTTCACATCTGATTACAAGGGAAGAGTGTAAGGGAAGCTGCCTCTGTAAATGTACACTTGTTTACAGAGCGATACCCTTGATACTAAAGTCTTCAGAAACATGAAACACTGGGATGGGGTGCGGGGCGGGGGGATGGAATCAAGATTGTCATGCAGCAAAACAGAACAAAAACTATGTCCTTTTATTGGCTTGGCTGCAAATGAAAAGTCAGATTTTCTGAACTTCAACAGGCCAACTTATTTTAGATATTTATTAAGACAGTCAGCCCAACTTGATTCATGTTTCGTCCTAGTGAATTCAGTGGTCAGCCATGTCGGCTGGGGATGATGAGAGTTGTAATCTGACACATGGCAAGGGTACAGCCTAAGGGAGACTGAGGTAGCTGTCATGTCAATCACCTTAGTCTGCCTTTCTTGTTGCATGGGAAACCAGGAAGTGAAAGCTCTTTCTTTTTTAACTGTTAAGTTAAAATAGCATTTATCAGTTTAAACTGGAGCAACCTTTTCTTAGTAAATTTCAGTGGTTGCTTTTTCTGTATGCTACCCTATTTCTCTCTCACACACACATGCACACACACTCTTATGGCTCTTGTCTTCATTTTTGGTGTGTGCTGATTTACCTTTGATAAGATGAGCTTCTGAGTATAAGAAATTATTTTTGTTGTCATGTAGGAAGAGATGCTATCTTGGAAAACACACTGTGGTCAGATTGCTTACTAAAGAGATCAAAGATGGGAGAGGAAAGAGTTCATACAACAGGTAAGATTAAAAAGCATGCCCTACAGCTGAAAGCAATACCAGCAAACTTTTAAAATGGAGTAATAGCAGAGGATTGCAGTACTGCCATTGCCAGCATTTTGCAAAACACTTTCCAAACTGTCTTATCCTGACGTAGGCCAGGAGTCTGAGTTTGTTCTTGCTTGACAGATGTCCCTGACCAGAGAGTTCTGCTCATGAATGCTCCCACCAGTGCCATGGAGGAAGACAACATTCAGCTATTATACACACACATAAACACCCCAGCAGCCTCCAACTTCCGAACTTATGCTCTGGAGGGCTGGGAGAACCTCTGGAGGAGTGGGGAAAGGGCTGCAGGGCAAGGGAGAATGGTGAGAACTGACGTCTGCCAGCCAGTTCCTCTGCTGCCTCTCTGTTCCTGCCTTCATCTGTGGATGGATGCCGGTTAGTATCCAAGCCTTGGAAATGAACATTTAACCACCGCGGTATGGAGCAGGAACCAAAAAGCAAATTATAGTCAAGACCTGGAGTGGACTGACACTAGAGTCCCTTCCATTAATCACTGAGCACTGTTGCAAGACTTATGCAAAACACATTTACTGCTGTTGGGCACATGTTAATGAACACAGCGTGGTCTCTACTGTGCTGAAGGCACAATCTTGTGTCACACATAAATGCAATTGTGGGAGAAGCAGGAGAAGTTCAAAAGGTGATGCAAACAGAGGAAATGCCCCCCTTTTTTCCCACCTGAGCAGAGGTGTAAAAGGATCCCAGGTAATTTTTAACATTGACAGCTTCTTCTGCACCATCACATTCACATAGGCACACAACGCAGGAAGAGACCTCTGGGAGAGATGAAGGAAGGCAGAGATGCTGCTGCCATCTTCCCACCTTCTATGGGGTGAAGCCAGCAGGGTCAGTACCCCAATTCCTATCCACCCCGAGACAAGTGCAGCTCCTCTTCTGTGCTGTACTTTCCCAGGAGTAAGTGTCATTAAACTCAATGTGATTTACTGCTGAGTAAGGCCATAGAAGATAATGTGATTAAGTTCTGAATACATACGCAGTTTCATTTGTTTCCTGCTAGTTCTTCCTCGATTCAAGGAAACAAGGGGGACATTCCCCTTTTTTCCCCAGAGGGGAGGGGAGAAACATCATTGCATTTCCTCTCCAGTTCACTAGGCAAGGCAGAGCAAGAGAAGCCCCAACAGGACACTTCATTTTCCCTGTGAGCCTGCTATAGCTGGGTCCTCTGATCCAGAAGAGTCCTGCAACTTACTGGTCTATAAACCAGGGAGAAACTGCACCATATAATACAGCTGAAGAAAGCTGGGATGTAAGGGCAGGAATGGTTTGGCGTGAGCATCACGTGATACCGCAGTGAGTTAAGCATTACAGTATTAGTTAAAATAGTGCAGATCCAGCCCAGGAATTCTCTATAAAGGAAAGGGACAATATCCTCTCTTTCAGTAAGTAAAATCATTGTAGCAAGCTCAGGATAATGCTATAACCTTAAAATCTGTACCAATCGGCTCCTCTTGGTAAACAACAGACAAGCAAGGATAGCTAGCAATCTTGAATATTATTTATTGGGGTCAGAGCAGGATACAGCCTCAAGCAAGGTTTCCTCCACACTAGTTATCCTCGACAAATGATATATTTTCTTCTTTCAAAACTACTTTGCAGATCATCTGTTTTTTTTTTCTCCAGAAAACACTTTCCCTCACTCAGAAATCCTCTAGACATGGAGCATTAATACCTTGCTCTGAAGTACGTACTTCAAATCCACCTTTCTTTTTGCATGGAGAAACCAAGATAGTACTTTTCTCAACAGCAAAATAATTTGCAATAGACTTTTATTGGGCATTCCTGAGAAGAGCAACCTGCTATACAAAGAAAGTGGCATCGAGTATCCACTTGGAGTTATAGTCGCCATCAGATTTTCACGTGGTGTCTTCAAAATTCAAAAGTGAAATGAAAAATAGGTTACTGCTTCAAATGTAACACAAGAAAGGCCTCTCTGGTCCAACCTTTTGTTTCCACAGTGGTCAGCCAGTTTACTACTGGATGCTCACAAGCAGAAAACGAGTGCAGCCACATCCTCCCACTCATATTTCTTGGGAACTGGGGTGAACTGCTGGATATGGCCCTTGTGACCAGTGGCCACTAAGACCCTTATTCCCCATGCATTGACTAATCCCTTTTCAAGGTACCCAAGATGGTGGCCATAATTATATCTTGTGGTAGCAATTTCCAGAGTTTAACCATGAGGTATGGTGAACAAGTGTTTCCTTTTGTCTGTCCCGATTTGCAGTTATTTTTACTTTTACTGAACTGTTTCACAACTATATACATGAGAGCCAGTGTGGTGGTGAGAATGTTGGACTGGAAACTTGGGAGATCTGAGTTCTATTCCCCGCTCAGCCATGAAGTGCACTGGGTGAATTTGGGCCAGCCACTCAGTCTGAGGCCAACCTACCTCACAGAGTTGTTTTTGTGAGGAGTTACAGTGGAGTTATGTAGGTGGCCTTGGGTTTCTCTCAAGAGGAATAAAAGTATGATATAAATGCAACAACAACCATAGTATCATCAATAGTATAGGCAACCTGTACCATTTGAGAGATGAACAAATCTATTACAATAAAATTCTCATATCCCACTTTAGTAGAAGTATGAGTTGGGATCTGGAAAGTGTGATATGTGCCTATGTAATTAGTACAGGTGGTTACATACCTAAACTTGCCTCCTTTAGTTACTACTAATACTACTACTACTAATAATAATAATATGTTATGAACATTCGCTTTGTGACAAGAGGGAACAAGCCAGGACATTCATATTTATGTATATATTTTAGCATTTTATATACCTACCCTTGAACAAGTCCCAGAATGAAACAAATTGTCCTGTTCACATATGCAGAAAGCCTGGTTTTTACATGAAAATTGATATGGGAGCTTAAAGTTAGACTTCCTGCCCAAGCTTTGCAGGTGAACAACAGACATGGTGTTCTCTGCCACGTAGATACACTAAGAACCAAATCAGGCCTAACTTTAAATCTGGAAGTGACACTTTTCCTTATTTTTACTCTAGAGTAAACACAGGACACCTGATCTGGGTTTTAAAATCAAACCCCTGCACCTACTCTAGCATTTACCAAAGATAGGAATTTAGTGCCTGCTTTATTCAAAAAAATGAAAGAAACCTGCTGGATATGGATTTAAAGTAATATATATTTTACCCCAAAGCTTGTAGGTTAGGAATCCATTTCTTTTTGGTGGCCATCCATACAGTGCCTGGTGCTCTGTAGATATTTTAGATCACAACTTCCAGCATTTCCAACCATTGGCTCTGCTGGCTGGGATTGACAGAAGCCAAATCCCAAACGTCTGTAGGCTGGAGAAGCTGATCTAATGTATCACGGTCATTGTTGACTAGTGGTGTTCTTAGCCCAGCTGAACTAACTCATACAGATATGGGCTGAACATTAGATAAAATGGGCCATAACTCCTGAATGGAATGCTGACATAAAATCTGTACATTATTATGTAGGCCAGTGAAAGAAATAGCTGCATAAAATATGGGTTATTACTGTTCGGATTGTGTGGGTGTGTCTGATGGCCAGTGCAATTTTCTCCCCTCTGTGGCATCAGCATTCTTAAAAACAACAAATTAGCATATCTTCAGAAACCAAATCAATGCTGAGAATGCACTTCCATCTTTCACAGAGTGGTTAGAGTATATTTGCTTATATTTTGCACTATTTTAATGTAACCATATTGATCAAAGCAAACGTTCAATAAGACCGTAGGCATCTAGGTCTTATTAAAATTAGTCAACTTGAAGCAAGTGACCTGAGGAAGAAATGGAAAATTGTTTAGGGATTTTTACATGCAGAGAACCCAACCTGGTAATGTGGTAAATCTGCTAAGTGAACACATTTCCCTCAACTAAACCTGAGCACATAGGATAATGCCTGTGAAGCCCTCTAGGTGCTCACTCATGAGCGAACACACTAGTTTAGAAGTTCATAAGTTTCAGCTCGTCTGTGATTTGCCTTCCTGTGATTAAAACTAGGGCAGTCTGTGCCAATCTTGCTTGGCATCTTCTGTCACTAAACAATGCTAACTACCATATATACAATTTGCCTGTATAAGAGAGAAGTGACCTGTATTGCAGTTTTTTTGCTAACTTGCCCACTCCTTGTGATTCCTGTGCAAGTACAGATCAGCTGGGCAATGCCCTGAGCAATTACATAAGAGAAATTGCAGACAGAAAAAGAAAAAGAGCGGGGAATGATTTTCTCCAGACTAGTTTACTCTGTAACAAATAATATGTTTCCCTCTTCTGAAACTTGCAGCATTTCTTCAGCAAGGTAGAGAGTCATAATTAAAACACAAGCTCCCAGGACTGGCTTTAGCAGTGATTTGTAATACCACTCCTTTTGGCACATTTTATGGAGTCCAAAAATACTGTTTTCAAAAGCATTGCTATTTGTGTGGTGGCAGCGGGGGGGGGGGGGAGATGCTATACAACATTTTTAACTGATTAATTCTGTCTTCCCTCAGAGGACTTGACCTGCAATAGTGTTTTATTTTCATTGAAACACGTTGGGGGTAAGGGAGGAGAGGAGAGAAAGGATGGAGCCATGGAGAGAGAGGTCTTGCTGCAATACCTTTTAATGAACTGAGCCAAAAATTGACTATGGCATCTTTAGAGATTTCCTACTACCTGTCCTTCAGAGGGGGGCCTACAGAGTTCTCGGTGGACTCATTTTTCCTCCACCTCCTTCTGCAGTCTCATAAAGATGGTAATTCTTTTTCCTAAGTCAGATTCCAACCTTGATTTAGGTCCCATAGTAGCAACTGGTGTGATATTGCCGGCCAGGTTTCACTCCAGGAAACTTCTAATCTATCCATGGTCTTTTTAGGATAAAAGAAAAAAAATGTATCAGCAGAAGCTCCAACTCAACTTTATTTCATTTATAAATTACAAGAACGACGGTATTATATATTATTAATTTCTGCTGTTCTCCAATTCGACTGCAGCAGTGAGCTGTGGATGTTGGAACGGTGTAATTATGTTCTAGTAGGGCAGCCATCCGTTTCCTTTCAAAAATTTACAGGATTCTTAATCATGCTGCTCATTTGGGTGCGCAATAGCGAGGATGGCGAAACACAAACATGGCACGTTCGTTTACACAGGAACACCTGCTTAGCGTGATAGCAGATGTCAGTCAGCAAGAGGAACACAAAAGAAAAATATCAACAGCAGCAAACTCGAACCGTTCCCAACCCAGCGCAGTGAAATCTCTCCAACAGGAATATAAACGGCTGGGCATGAGTTTGCAAAGGAAGCGAGCAATGTTCGAAAGTCTCATTCGCCTGATAGCCAGGTCGAAAGAATGACACTGGCTTTGAAAGTGCTGTATCATCTGCATCGCACTGGTTTTTAGGGTTGCAAACAAGTATTTTTCAGTGATCATCCTCATCATAAAAACGTCTGCTATATGATAAAATGAATACATACATAATGTCTAGCTATATGTTGGAACAATGCCACTGCTCTACAAGGGTGAACTACTGGTGGTGTGCCTTCTCAGAGCTCTATATACTAACTAGTAATGGATGTTTCTAGTGGGATGAAACTTGGCTTTGGACAGGAAATTTAAAATTGCAATAGGTTTTATAAAATAAAATGAGGTTGTCTCGTGGAGAAGAGTGGAGTTTTGTTTCCAAGTGCTGTCATTCTATGTGTATTTAACAACAGGTTGCATCATTAAGTACAACCACCCCCACCCCACTATATTTAGTACTTAGGATACATCCTTGCAGTTGGGTATTGGTATACTCTCTGAACGAGTTCTGCAGTTAATTATTTTTTGGTAAGGATTGTTAGAATTCAGAGTGAGTCAACTTATGTAGGCCTGTGCATTAAAGACTCCCTAAGTATGCATTGACTTGATACCCGGTAATGGCTTCTAAGGAGCCGTTATGTAGTACCGTGTCAATGATCCATGCATTGAGGACTCCCTAAGTACGCATTGACACGATAGACCGTAACGGCTCTGAAGAAGCCGTTATGCTCTATCATGACAATGATCTGCAGATATTGGCAGAGGCTCTTGCTCGTTCATAAAGATTGTAAAAGTCTCCAAAGAAGCTGTTACAATCATGCTGCAAGAGCCATCAATCAGATCAATGGCGGAGTTTTGCACTTTCATTTATCTTGGTGCTGCTATCTTTTCTTTCTGAGATCGTAGCCCCAAAGAGGTCAATGCACTAAACATGTGCCTGCCAACAGAGTGCCTTTGGATGTCTACAGGTATTTGCCTGGCCTGTAATTCTTAGGGAGCTGTCCTGTGTGTATTTTCATGCAAAGGTTACACAGGGCTTTACCCAGTCATGTTCATTTCCCAGCAGAGCAGATTCCCTTTCCCTTAGGACCCTCCAGGGCAGAATGCGGAATGCGGGGGTACAGGGAAGAGGGAAAGAAGATGACACAAGGATAGTCCACCTTGTTCTATGGGATTTTCCCAAAATAGGTGTGTGTGAGTTGCAATCCTAGCTTTGCTTTCATAGTTGGATTTCCACTATGGCTTCCTTTCCACTAGGAAAGGAAGCTCCCAGAATGAAGTTAGACTTCATACATGCTCTGGGACTATAAAAGAGTAATTAGCTACTCTGCAGCTTTTCAGTTCATACTTCACTGCTTTTTCTGGGAAATTCATGTTACTTTATTCATGATTCTGGACATACTTCTTAACATTCTTCAGTGCTAAGGCTATGGAGACATAGTAGAACAAGGCACATTGTGTTGTTGTTTTTTTTAACAGACTATTTATGATGCTTTCCCTTTTACTCTGTTAATCACCTCTGCAGGTACAAAGGGTAAAGGTCAAGGTTCCCATGCACATATATCCTAGATGTGCTGGACTCTGGGGTCAGCTCATCCCCATTTGTGAGCCAAAGAGCCAGCGTTGTCCGAAGATGCTTCAGTGGTCATGTGGCCGGCGGGACGAAATGCTGGGGTGCATGGAATGCTGTTACCTCCCCACCAAAGTGGTACCTATTTATCTACTCGCATTTGCATGTTTTTGAATTGCTAAGTAGGCAATCACTTTGCATAGCCTGTCAAATGTTAAGATAGCTCTCTGGCCCTTTTAGAATCCAAAGCCAAGCAAGGAATGTTCAAGGTAAGTAAGAGGAAACCTGGAGAACTGGGTGCAGAATCAGGAAGATCTCAAAATGTATAGAGATATTTGAGTGGAAAGAAGTAGCAGAGCAACCCTGGAAGGGGGAACAGTTGGCTTAAAAGGAATGACAACAACAGCAGGGAGATAGGAAGCTCTATGGAGAAGTGAATGTGCTGAAGGAAGAAGGGCAAAAGACCACAATGCAGAGGAAAGAGTAACTTCCTCTGAGTTAAACTGCCCAGGCAAACAAGTGACACTGGATTACATAAATGGACAGGATGATAATGAAGAGATGGTGTAGTGATTACCTGGGTCCTACAAACAGCAAAGCAAACTTTGTCAAAGGCCACCCTTTTGCCACCTTCTCTCACACAGCAAACCAGTCTGATCTTGGGAAAGGCCAATTCGACTGCCGAGGTGCACATTTCTAAGGGACCAATTACAGACACGGAGAGGTGACTGAGGTGAAGCGCTTTCACCCTTCTTCGGGTGAAGAGCACTCGCCCTCATTCAGTTTTTCAACACTGGCCAATTTAGATGCTTGATGGGGAGGAAGGGTCTTATCTCCAGAAGACCACATTGCATTCACGGCTACTAGGCCAACCCAAAGAAGAATAACTGGGGTTCAGAATAAACCCCGTAGTTAGTAAGTAAGTAAGTAAGAAAGAACAGCAGGGTTCCTGCAGAACCGGAAGTGCCCTCTGTCTGGGAAAGAGAGGCTTTACAAGCACTAGTGAAACTCCCCCTTTCTATTGCAAAACTTTCCATGGGCAAGCATGAGCTGCCTTACACCAGTCCGATATTTATCCTTTAAGCTTAGTCCTTTCTCTACTTGGTAGCCACTCTTCCAAGCTTCTGGCTTTCGCATCCCCTGACCCTTTTGGCTGCAGGCGCGACAGATTGCACGGAGGTCCTTCTGCACGCAAAGCACATGCGGGGCCATTCAGTGACGGCCACCCTCCCAAAGGAATATTCTACCACCAATAAGCTGATTCAGAATTCACTTGAAAGCTTTACGTCTGAGTAAAGTCCAGCAGCTGCTCAGCAGGATCCAGTGTGCACCTGATGCTGAGCACCAACAGGACTTGCTCCTTCCCTCCCCACCAGCACCATGAAAAGCTCCATACATATAGTCTTCTCTGTGCATACTCCTGGGCTGAATTAGAGGAGGTGTTACAATGAGTAAAGATGATGGGGGAAAGGCTGCTACAAAGAAGGAAGCAGAAGGTATGTAAACTAACTTCCTGAACACTGATACTTACTTAGGCAAAATGCTTCTCAGGTAACCTCCCATTTTCTATATGTGGGATTCTTTTCCGCCATATAAGGCAGAAATACACAATTCATCCACTCCATATGGCTTTGGCAGACCTGCACAGATCAGCCTGCACTTGTGACATAGAACACTCTGTGTGCAGAAAGTCTCTGGTTTGATCCCTTTCAGCATCTGCCGAAACAATTGGTTAGTAGGTGATGTCAAAGGCCTCTGCTTGAGACTCAGGACAGACTCCTGTGGTAGTCAGAAGAGGTCACATGGGATAAAAAGGGACAAGTAGGACAACTTTGTATAAGGTGCCTTTCTGAATCAGATTTACAAAAGGTTTACCAGTGGTGCCCAGCCATGGATCCCTAGATGTTATTAGACGATTCCCACCACACCAGACTATTGCCCTACTTGAGAACCACTGGATTATACAACATCATGGAATATAACATGCTAAAAAGATCAGAAGTCCTAGGTTCAACCTCTGGCATCTTCGGTTTAAAAGGTTCAAGTAGGAAATCATGTGGAGGTCCACTTGCCAGAAGCCATGGAAGCGAATGCCAACCAAGAGTAGATAATAACAGGCTAGATAAATAAACAGTAGAACCTAGTAAAGACAACTTGTTATATTCCTATGATCATAAATGGATGCATAAAATAAAATACAAGACAGAGTAAAATACCTGTACAGGCTGTATGATGCCATGGGATTTCAGGAAAGCTTCCACATGTCCTTATATATTAACCATATATGTCTACCAGGGGAGAAAGATACAGAGATTCAGGAAGGAGGACTTCAGGGGCTGGCTTTGTTGGGTTCCTGCTGAAGTCTCTAATCCAGTGCCACATGCCAGTGCTGAGCTTTGAAGTCTCTGCTTCTTCACTTCTGCTGCCTCTGCCCCTAATACTCTGCCCAAGCATGCAAGAAGTGACAAGGGCAGGAAAAGGAGTTACAGCCTTGACTTTTCCTCTTGGTACTGTTTTAGGATGGACCCAGAGGCAGAAAAGGAGAGAGGGCCAATGAACAGGCAAAAGTTATTTCAGGAAAGAAGGACCACTCAGGAAGTAGAACCAATTGAAGGCACCTTTGTCCTGTCAAAATATGAAATCAACACGAAGCCTCCAATATAGAACCAACATATGGAATGAACATATGGACCATATGCCCTTACCATATTGCACCAAAATATGGAGCCAACCCTAAACCTCAAAACATCAAGTACCAAGCCCCAATTTGTGGCTGCTGAACTTGAAACTATTTAGAGATCCTTGAAAGAATGAGAGGGAGGCAGGGGGAGGGGGGTGAATGAACCTCTGTACATGTGTCTGTGTGAATGAACCAGAAAAATGCTAGGATCAACTTTCCTCACGAGGTGTCTATATTCTTAAATAAGAAATAACAGGGCTAGAGGACACTTGGAAGCCATGTGCCAAGCCATGAATGCTTGAGGAGAGGAGAGGAGAGGAGAGGAGAGGAGAGGAGAGGAGAGGAGAGGAGAGGGCCTATAAGATCATTCAGCACAAACCTCTGCTCTGTTTGCATGCAGTCTCCTATCTGGCAGCAGCTTAGGTCTTTCCAGATTAGCAAAGGTGACTTGCTAAGCAGGCAAGGAGTGTTGAACCTCTTTCAGCCTGAGGGATGAATTCCATTTTGGAAAAGCTCTTAGGAAGCACCTTCTACTCCTGGGTGGAGCTGAAGGCAAAAAGGGAGTAAGGCGAAAGGCAAAACAGATGGGACCAAAAGTGTGAGCTGTACCAGCATATTCTAGCTGAAAGAACTTTCTGCCATTAACTAAGCCTTAGTGTAGGCATTTCAACATTTTTTGAATGTAGAAAAGCTGCACAAAAATTGGGAAATTATAATTGGTAGCTGGGAGAAAAGGGATGAAGCCAAGGGAAGGAGGCATGGACATCTGGGGGCAAATTTGGTTTCCTCTACCTTACTCCTTCCTAGCAGGTTGGAGAAGCCAGGAGCCAGAAATGGTTCCATGATCCCAGGACTGGGGTGGGGGGAGCGGGGGGAGATCCTGGACATGACAACTCTCCAGTCTATGATTTAGCCAAAATTGGTGTTGCTCATGAGTGTGTGGTTTCTGGAACCTTGTCCCACACAGACAAAGCTTTTGGTGTGGTTGTTCAGAAGCCAGGGGAAGGGATCAGTGGACAGCCACTGCAAATGACTCAGCAAGTCATGGATGCTTACAGAGATCCAGACCCACCGCAACTCTAAAACTATCCTCTTGATTGCTCTCTCAGTTTTCAAGAGACCAGTCTCAGTATCCTGCTAGGGGAATAGGATTAGGATTTGGTATGCAGTTGCTAGGACACAGGAGTAACCCTGACCAGGGTCAGGCCAAAACCCATCTCAGTTTTTATATCTGGGGTTCACACACACCCTGATCTTGTCCTGGCTAATGAGACATGCCCTGGTCTCCAGTTCCTTGCTCTAGTCTTGGGTTGAGCCAAAGCCTTGGTAAGTTCAAGAACAGATTAAATTCTGAAGTTTCCATTGTTAGTGCTAGTGGAATTGTTCAACAGGCTGAGTAAGTCATAGCCAGATGGGAATTAGTACCTAAAATCATCTGTTTCTCCGTGAATTCAAAGCATTCTCAATGCTGCTTACATCCAAAAGATTCCAAGTCACCTACTGTTCCCCCATCTACATTTGGTTTGCTTTTTTAAAAACGAGAGCATTGTGCCAGAACAGGACCTTCACATAACCAAAGGTCACTGAAGCCGTGCATTATGTTCCTCTCATTCTGAATGTTTAGCTACAGTTACGAAGGGCATGTTGAATTGACTAAGCCTGTTTCTGATAGAGAATGTCTAATCTGTGATCTGCCAGGTATCTGATGCTGTATGACTGAATCTTACAGCCAGTGTTAACATCTTGGCTTGAAGTACAGGTATGGATTTCCCATGGCTCCTTCAGTGTTTTCCACATTTAAATTAGGAAGAGTTGTTATCTTTATCTGTAATGAGCACAAACATTGCTCTCGTTCTCTCTCAAGTTTATACCGATCATTGAAGAAAACTAAGGTTGCCATCCTGTTTCCCTTTGCACATTTGCTTTGGCTTCAGTTAACTCAAGAAATGCATCTTTTGTCTCTATAAGCAATGTGACAAAATGTACTGTGCTGTGTACCCCTCTCCTCCTTTTTTTCTCGCCAACAATGAAAACGCAATCCTTGAATAGGTGTAAAATCTGAGGAAAGTACATTTTCCAAATATTCTAAGCCTTTGAAAGAGGGATACACAATTCAGGACGACGCAGCTGCAATTTTGAGGTGTGGGGGGAGAGAGGCTACTGTTCCTTTAATGCCCAGCTGGTCCTGAGATGTAATAAAATTGACATATTGATTCCTTTGAATTTACAAGTGCCTGTTTCATAAACTCCATTTCCAAAGCCCAGGCATCTTTAGAGCACTGTCATTCCCCCCCCTTCCAAATGGATCAATTATGTGCCCACGTAATCCTGTTACCTGTGAAATCCATGCATACTTCACCCATTTGCTGCAGTTCCCAGATGGACAAACTTGCATTATGTACGCATAAACAAACAGAGTATTTTCCTGATATTAGGGATTGTTTTCAAAGTGAAAAGC